GGAGCCTGCTTCCCCCGCCCTCTCTCTGCCTGTCTCTCTGCCTGCTTGTGATCTCTCTCTCTCTGTCAAATAAATAAATTAAATCTTTAAAAAAAAAAAAAAAAAGAAAGGTAGGCAAGGTTTGGGGTACAGACAGTATACTAAAGTGTTAAGGACTTGAAAAAGGTAGTTCACAGAAAAAGATATACATTGGCCAACAAATATATAAAGAAATTATTTCATGCATAACTGAAAATTAAAGCAAGACAGAAATTTTTACTTATTAAACTAGTAAAAATGGAAAAAGTGAATAATGCTTGCTATTGAGTGCATGGGAAAACAGGCACTCTCATACATTGAGTCTGGAAGTAGTAAATGGAACCACCTCTTTGGAAGGGAATCTGGCAGCCTTACATTTTAGAAGTGTGTATTTATCTTTTGACCCATTGCAACAAATTTATCTGATGACACAGCCATTTAATTCTGTATAAAATGCATTGTTTCACTGCAGCATTGTTTATAATCCCAAAAAACTAAAAGACCTATAAAGAACCTATTCATCTATAAGGTTGTGTTCTAGTCATGCAATGTAACACAATACAGTAACTTAAAATAATGAAGGAGATCTCTGAGAGCTGATGTACATAGACATTCAAGAGAGAACGTTAGGTGAAAACAAACAAACCAAACTGCAGACAGCATATGAAATGTGAATCCCACTTGAGGTTTTCCACAACAGTAAAACCAAGATAGGATAATAAAACTGTTGTAAAGATTAAATGACAATGCTGGTGATCTATGTAAAGAGCTCAAAAAAAGCAAAGAATAAGCGTTCAAAAAATACAAAGTAGTTCTGTCTGGAAAGAGGGAAAAGAAAATTTTCACTTTCATCTTAATTTTTTTAACCATAAACATGTTTTTTTTAAATTAAAAGTTTTAAATGAACAAATAACAAATAGCAAGCATTTTTATCTTTAAAGTGATTAACTGATTTCTCTCCCTCTTCACTTCTTTTTAATCTCTTGTTCATGTCTTTAAATTACCATTAGATTTTGCATGCCTCAGCAGGGCAGAATGATTTTGTACACAGTAGGTACTCAGTAACTGAATCTAATTTTTCTCTCCCTCTTCAATTCTTTTTAATCTCTTATTTGTGTCTTTAAATTACCATTAGATTTCGCATGCCTCAGCAAGGTAGAATGATCTTGCACACAGTATGTACTCAATAACTGAATCTAATTTCTTACCAAAGTAGGATATTTGTGGTGCTGAATGGGAAAAAAGTTATACTCCTCTTAGTAAACTACTAAATAAATATATACTTGAATGAGTTCCTTTAATATATTCAGCGGAATTATCTTTTGTAGCTGAGTAATATAAAAACCCTTATTTGATTTTATACTTACAGCTTCCAAGCTCTCTTTTTTCATGTTCAATGAGTCTAGTTGTTGCTGAAGTGTGTCTAACTCCTAAGAAAAAGGAAAAAAGTAAATATACATACGAGTAATATTTAGAATAATATGTTTCTTAGCTTTTCATATATGGATGTGACAAAGTAAATTTTATAAACACATCCAACACTTGCTATTGACTAGAATTTATTAACATTATTTCTATTTCTGCCAGTTTCTTTCATTATTCCCCAAAACTTGCCATGATCTACCTTTAAAAATACTTTATGAGCTTGTCAAAGGTAGCCAAACCTTTTCACAATGAATCATCACTGCCGTTTTGAAAATATTTAAATATCAGGAGCCTTCAAATTAATGATGGTATTGTTTAAAGTTATGATTTTTAACTTTGATTTTTTAAAACCAAGTTTCCATATCTTTTGCCTAATTTCTTTTAGAGCCAAGATATATAGTAATTTATATGGCTCATTCCTACAGACAAGACTTTCAAGCTATTTACTTATTCAAAAACCACTGTGCAAGATTAACTGTATTTTGATGGTACTTCAGCATTTCTGTAATACTCTTTCTTCAGTGTGTCATTGTATCTTATGAATCCTGACTAAAATAGAAAGTTATATTAAATTGTCAATGAAATAATATCTGAGAAACCAGAACTACATTCAATTTTGGCATTTATGGGGACTAATTCTCTGTTAACTGTTTAGTTAAGGGTTATCTTGGTATATAAGGGCACTAACTTGCAAATCTGGGTCACCACCATCACTGAATGTTGGGAGAATTCTCAATAACCCCTCAGCAGGCTCCCAAATTGCTTATTTAAATACCACGATTAGGAGGCAAGAGCTATTCAAATTAAGGACAGAGAAGTAAAAGATGCATTGTTTATTAGGCAGGGAAAAAAGGAAGTAATTATCTCTATGGCACTGGTATCTGAGGTTTTTTATTATTTCTATTAATAGTTCATTAAAAAAACAAGTGTTTTCATGTATCTGTATGACACGCAAAAGTGAAAGATGCATAGAAATGAACAAATAATACAGTAATATTTGGTCATCGTGCGGCATGAGAAAATGAATTTTCTATATTGTACTTCTCAAATTTAAATGTCCATCTATACAAATTATCTGGGGACCTTGTTAAATTAAGATGTTGATCAGTAGATCTAGTCAAGTTCTCAGGGATGCCAATGCTGCTCATCTTCAGACTATATAGCAGCAAGACTGCTATATCCTGTTGAGGAACAGGATAGTGATTAGTATTACCTGCAACAATTTCTCATTTGTGGTTTTCATTTCTATGTACTTGACTTGTTTTTCAGGAGACATGTTTCTGATAATGCCATCTGCTGCTTGTTTTTCCTGTTCAACTTCTTCTTCTACACTTCTAATTTGTTTTTCCTTCCTGAAATCAAAAGTATTCAATATTCCTCTTAATACACTGAGCGGAATAACATCAATTAATTTTACTCAGGTCACAGTCTCAACTAAATAGGGTAAAGTTATTTAACATAGCTTGTAAATTCTTATAGATGTACAAAAAATTCTATTTGGAGAACAAAGTGGTGGCTGCCAGAGGGAAGAGGGTGGGGCATGGGCAAAAATGGGTGAAGGGGAGTAGGAGGTACAGGCTTCTAATTATGGAATGAAGAAGTCACAGGGATGAAAAGTACAGCATAGGTAATACAGTTAACGATATTATAATAGTGCTGTATGATGATGGTAACTTGTGGTGAGCACTGCATAACATATGGAACTGTTGAATCACTTACGTTGTACACCTGAAATTTAAATTAACATTATGTGCCAACTATACTTCAATAAAAATTAATAAGAAAATCCCTTACACTTCCAAAAAAAGAATTGTCCACATCAACAGAAACTTATTTTACATCTTTCTCTTCTCAGTTCCCAAATCCTTCTATTTCCCTATTATTCATTTTACTTTCTTATAAGAAAACTCAAAGATTATCACAGAAAATCTTGAAAGCCTTGTACACATGAGGAGGTATTTACACTTTGTCATACCCACAAGACAAAACAATTTTAGAATAGTGGTTTTCAAACATCTTTTAGCTACAGAATTCTTTAACCAAATGAAATCTTGTATTATAGTTAACCATGTAAATGATATAAAGTAAACACAGCTCTGACTGATCTGAGAGTAGTGCAATTTGATTAAAAAAATCATAACTTTAGATTAATAATGTATCTTGCTTACCTACTACTTTAATTAAAATTGGTATTCCAAAAGCTATCAACTATATTTTAGTGGTGCAAAATAATGTTAGTGTCTCTGAAAATGTAACAGGAATATCACAAGTGTAATCAATCATATAAGAGTAATAGTCACTAAATTAATTACAAATAATAACCATCTTTATCATATAATCACAAGAAATACCAGTGATAAGCCACTTATTACATAAGCGAGGTCAGTTATCAATAGGATAGAATTTTTCTCTAAAATTCTGAAAAAATTCTCTAGAATTTTGAAAAAAAGGAAAAGATGCTAGTTATCACATAAATATTTCAAGATTTACATATAAAGACTACTTGAAGATAAATGTTTATTCTCAATATCAAAATTTTGAGTTTCAAAATAGGAGTATTCTACTACTTAACCTTCCGCATGTAGTTATCAATTACTACAGGTTTCACAATCACTCTCTAAGCCCTACAGGTTCAAGTATTCCCCACACACTTTTTACACTTCCAGAATAAAGTAATCTACATTCAGAAATTTTTCTACAAACAACATCTCTTAATAACCCAATAAAAGATGAACAAAATCAAACAAACAACATGAAATTTCTATTTATTTTTGTCTATTGGACAAGGAGTAATATCTTCACTTTGAACTTAAATTATTATCATATAACAAATGTGTTTGCTGCTGGATTTATATGGGTTTATGGGCTCAGAACTTTCAAGTAGGAAAGGTCATCAATTTCAATCTCTTTGTTTCATAAATTAAGGATACTGAGGCTCAAGGGAGTTAATCTTTTGGAACTAACTCGTTCTGAACTCCATGATTATTTACTATCAACAATGAATCTTAACCATGTTTTTGCCTGATACATCTTGTTACTGTAGTTACACGGGAGCTAGTGTTATACAGTATTCCATTTTACAGGGGGGAAGCTGCAGCACAAGGAAGGTAACTCATTTTTTGAAGGCCACAATATGGCCAGCATTAGGTCTTTTGATCCTTTGAGCACTCTGCTCCTATTACAACTTGGCAATAAAACCACCAATGACAGGTCATAAAAATGAATAAACAAAGTTGAAATGGGAATACAAAACTCGGTATCTTTTCAACTTGAATCTTTTTAAATACGAAATACCTTTAGGACTAACCTTAAATCACGTTAACCATGTATCTTTCCAAGTACATATTTTCAATATTATATACTTCAACTTGCAAAGTAAATTTGCTAATATTTACATTTTTCAAGAGTAATTAAGAAACACAAAGATTAAGCAAAGCACTTTACTTGTTATGCCAAAAAAGTCAAAGATGACTAAGAAATTACTCTTCTAGTCAATCTTTTGCTAAGGAAGTCTAGCTTTTTTTTACATCACGTGTTCATTGGGTACAAAGGTTAAAGCATAGTGAAATGCAACCATATGACATACTTTTTTTTAATGGTGCAGAAGAAACAGAATAGATTCCTTAGCACACAAGTCTCAGAGAAAAGAAACAGGTAAAGGTAAGATTCCATATATTTACGGGTTTGATGGTTGCTGGTGAGTTTTAAAAAAACAAACCATATTTAGGCTTGTTAATCTACAAAAATCTTTAATATGGGGTGTAAGAGCAAAAAATATAATTATATCTTCATATGATCTACCTTAGAAATATAAACCTGGGATGTGGCCAAAAAATCTTTTCCAAATAAATTTATAATGTAATTTAATTAATTTTCTTTTGGGGAAAAAAGTTTCATCTAATCAAATTTATAAGATCTTTTTATTCTGAAATATGCTATCACAGAGCATTCTGAAAGTGACATTAACGTAAAAGCAAATTTACAAGGTGAAAAAAGACGAAAATTATAAGTAACTATGTTTGGAGAATGAAGAGATAGATAGAAAGCGTACACTTGATGATTGAAGATGACGGTAGGAAGTGTTTGAAAAAGAGCTGATGGCTCTCATCTCGACAGTTTTAAGTCAACAGATTATATCAATAGACAATATCTAAAAATGAAAAACCATAAAAGAGCAATATAAGCATATACTTAAATATGTACATATACATAGTCTTGACTTTCTTTGACGCACATATATTAAAATTTTACAATATATAACCACTTCACTTGTTTCAAAGTTCATTTCAATCTATCCAGGAACTAATGAGACATTCAAAAAACACTTTCATTTGCCAGAAACTTTCCAGTTTAAGATTAGAGTGCGGGGAGGGTGATAGATTATGTACTTGTTTCACATTTCGTATGTTTTAAGAAAAAATGGATTTACAAGAAGAAAAAAGAAAATTAAAGTATTCTCAATATAAAGTTCTTCTCTATTGAGACGAAAATACTCTGTTTTCTAACAGGCCTGCGATATGAAAACTACATGCATCACAACCTTGTTTTGGCCCCTCTCTATGCTATTATTATCAGACGAAAGCCAGTCTTCTAAAACAGTAAGTTTTTACAATCAAGGTGGTGAAAATATTTTCAAAGGTATACTGGGGCGCCTAGGTGGTTCAGTAGGTTAAGGCCTCTGCCTTCGGCTCAGGTCATGATCCCGGGGTCCGGGGATCGAGCCCCCCATCGGGCTCTCTGCTCAGCCTGCTTCCTCCCTCTCTCTCTCTCTGCCTGCATCGCTGCCTACTTGTGATCTCTGTTGGTCAAAAAAAAAAAAAAAAAAGTATACTTTATGTACATTTAGTAAAATATGCCAAGGCAATTAAAGAAAAAAAAAAAACCTGAACTATCAAAACTAATTGGTTAGCTATATATATTCAAAATCTGTGGTATGTGAGCTAGATTCTAATTTGACAAACGCAGTCTTCATTTTATTTAAACTAAATTCTTTAATAGTTGGTTAAAGAAGTCTGTAAATTTTCACTATAAAATCTGAGATTAGTTTCAGGATATAAATACCAGTCTTTTATGTTTTATTTATTTTTATAAGTAATCTCTGTGCCCAAAATGGGGCTCAAATTCAGTACCCCGAGGCCCAGAGTCATACATTCTACTGACCAAGGCAGGCAGGCACCCCTAAACACCACTCTTTGAAATGCAGGGAGTTGGGGTGCCTGAGTGGCTCAGTGGGTTAAGCCTCTGCCCTTGGCTCGGGTCATGGTCTCAGGGTCCTGGGATCAAGCTTCTGGGATCAAGCTCCGCTTCAGGCTCCCTGCTCAGCAGGGAGCTCTCTGCCTGACTTTGCCTGCTTGTGATTTCTGTCATATAAATAAATAAAATGCTTAAAAAAAATAAAATGTAGGAAGTGTTTTTTAAAAATTAAATATTTATGAAGAATATTATTGTTGAATTACTATTATTATGGAAAAATTATTGTTGTTGCATTACTATTATTACTATTATTATTATTATAGCATTACTATTTTCAGTAGTATTCAGGAGACCATACGTCCTAGTAAGAATATAGTATTGCATTACTATTATTATTATAGTCAAAATAAGAACTATTTTTTTGGATCTGCAGCCACATAAGAAAAGTACTCATGTTGGCTAGCTCTTAAATTCATATGGTTCAATTTCCGTTATAAAGTAGTTCAATTTCCTGGGGGCACCTGGCTGGTTCAGCAAGTAGAGCATCTGATTTTTGATCTTGGGGTCATGAATTCAAGCCCCACATTGGTTATAGGGATTATTTTTAAAAAATTAATATTTCTTTTTAAACGCCAAACTTTGAGCTGTTAACCCTATATACAGTTATATATTGAGTATTACTTCTTATTTACTGTTGGTAGCTCTGATTTTTAAAAACAAATTTTAAAATAATTTCCTCATTATAAATCATATACAAATGAAATACTATGTAAGTTAAGAGAATTATTTGTCATGTATTTCCACATATGTAATGAAATTATACCCACATTTTTTCTGTAATGAGTATGTAGTAAGAAAAGATTATCTATATGATTAATTAGAATCTCTTTGCTCAGGTACAGGCATCAGAATTTCCTTAATCTTCAGTATTTCATCCCAATGAAGAAATAAAAGTATTTGCTTTACTTTTTTTTTACACTATAACATCAAAATATTAGAGAGGAAATGTTTTCCTAAAACTATTTTCTTCCAGGGGTGTCTGGTGGCTTAGTCAGTTAAACATCCAACTATTGACTTTAGCTCAAGTCATGAACACAGAATTGTGAGATCTTCCTCTCCCTCTACCCCTCCCCCCTCTAAAAAGAAAACAAAACTATCTCCTTCCAATGTCTAATTGCCTGCATATAAAAATTTGGAAAATTCTGTTAATATTTTTCCTAACTAATACATTTGTATTTTTTTCTTTTTTAGGAAGTCAAATGTAATTTCACTGAAAAGAATTATTCTTTGATTCCAGCAGATATCAATAAAAATGTTACTATACTTGATCTCAGTTATAACCAAATTACTTTGAATATTACAGACACTAGGGTTCTACAAACATATTTTTTACTCACTGAACTCTATTTGACTGAGAACAATGTCACTATGTTATATAATAATGGCTTTAGTAACCTCTCCAATCTAGAAATTTTAAATATCTGTAGAAACTCCATCCATGTAATTGAACAGGGTGCGTTCATGGGCTTAAATAAACTAAAACAGTTACATCTCTGTCAAAACAAAATAGTTCAACTGAATCCTGATGTATTTGTACCTCTAAAAAACCTGATACTTCTGAATCTGCAAGGCAATTTCATTAGCTATTTTGATGTACCACAACTGTTTCATCTGGAATTAATAATTTTATATGGAAATCCATGGAACTGTTCTTGCAGTCTATTGAATTTGCAGAACTGGTTGAACACATCAAATGTGACACTAGGTAAGCTACCATTATTTAATCAAAACCAAATTGTGATTGATTTTTTATTGTCCCACCCCAGGAAAGTCTCTCACTTCATGTTTTAAAGAAAAAGAAACTATTCCTGTTTAAGGGAAGCAGGAAGAGACACTGAAAAGTAATTGTTGAATAGATATTCTTCCTCTGCCTTTTAGGGAAAAAAAAAGAAGAAAAGAAATTTAAATGATTTATATATGCAAGATGGTACTGTCACTTCATGTATTAAGTTTATAGTTTGAATATGAATACATAAGAGTAATTTTTTTTAGTATTTCCTTTTGTTAAGATATCTTGCCAGACAGTAGGTAAAAACAGGTGCTCTATTTTATTAACTGCAAACCACGCTCTGCCTGAGATCAATTTTTGTCACAATCTTAATCATAACATCTTTACTAACACACACTAAACATAAACAGATACTGCATTTAAACCATATATATCATAAAATAACTTACTAAATAAGGTGAATCTTTCCCTTCTTGTGTTGCTAGGCAAATACAAAAGTTTCTTATAATCCGTAATAATGACAGGTATACCAAAAAATTCTAGGTAAAAATAATTATAAAATGCAAGCCATAATAATTTATTAACAATAATAATCCTATTTCCATAATAAATGTTATTCTGATTTACCAGAAAATGAAAACATCACCACGTGCACCTACCCAGATATCCTGAAGTTCTACAGTATCAAAACAGTACCTTATGATGCTGAGTGCTACTCAAAATTTCCTCCACCTATAAATGAAGATCTTTATAACCACTTTCAGTCCATTAGCAACTCAACATTTAATAGCTCTTTGAACAACTTAAAAAATTCAGGTAATGTACTGGTTTGGAATATTAATATTGCTGAAGGCAGTATACTAAATAAACTGAAGTAGTTATCATTTTTCTAAATTTTAAATTTCTAGAAACAATGTAAAAGAACAATTCCTCATCTAAACAAAAGATTTACAAAATACTAAGTTTCCAAACTAGGCTCTGCTAGTTACCATTCAAATGCCATTATGCAATTTATCTAACTTTTGAGTCTTAGTTTTGACCAATTAAGTCATGATTCTTAACAAGTATAAATCAACAATGTTCTTTTGTGAATTGATAAACAATACCTGCAAAGACAAGCAGTTATTTTGGAATAAAGGTATTTTTTTCAGCACACTATGAAATATCTTTTATTTTTAGTAACTTTTGCTTAAAGAAAATTATGTTTATTTCTAATACCAATATTATGGAGTTATTAGGACATATGATTAATGATTATTTTATTTTTGTCAATTTAACAAAATCTCTCTCTCTCTTTCTCTCTCTCTCGTTATTCCAATTAAGAACATAAACTTCTTGGAAAAAGCTGGGCTTTTCTGGTTGGTGTGGTGATCGCTGTACTGATGACTTCATTCCTCATTTTTGCTGCTATCAAATGCCCAGTATGGTATAATTTTCTGCTTAGTTACAATCATCATCGCCTGGAAGAGCATGAAGCAGAAACCTTTGAAGATGGTTTTATTGGAAATTCAAGTTCTCTTTCACAGGTCCCAGATACAAACTCTGAAGAAACTATAGTAATATTTGAAAAACTACATTCATTTGTGGCAGATGACGATGGGTTTATTGAAGACAAATATATAGATACTCATGAATTACATGAAGAAAATTAATTCCCTTAAATGTTTGTTTTTTTAATAAATGTTATCGGTTTACTCACAATTTAGACATAAATGGAGATTAGGCATGTGATATACCAAACTGTGGCTAGTAGACTTTCCTATTAATTGCAACACATAGGAATATCATAAAATCATGTTTTTTTCATTGGTACTGAGCAAGTAGGTCCAAACATAGTAAATGGTATCCTCTGGTAAGCTTACAGGGACAATATTAGCATTACTATTTTCAGTAGTATTCAGGAGACCATACAACTTAATAAGGAAAAGACTTATTAAATTATTTATTAAAATGAACTGATTCTAATATTGGCCCACATATTTGATATAATATATATTAAGTTATAATAAACTTTTATTGAGTAGAATCAGTAAAAAATAAAGTTTTTTTAAAGTCTGCCTCTCTCAAATAAATAAATAAAATCTTTAGAAAAATTTTTTTAAAAATCAAAGGTTTTAGATTTGTCAAAGTGAAAATGCTTAAACATACAACACACCAAGATTCATTTTATACTCATAGAATGAATTCATGGAATTAGAAAATACTTTTTTAAATGCTTTCTGAATTAGCACAATAAATTTCCTAAAAATTTAGTACCAAGTTAAAGCACAGGTACAATGTCCAAGCACAATTCCTAATAAGTTACTACAGACTTGAAAAAAAAAAAAAGGTACTACTGCTTTCAGTTATAAAGACCATCACCATAATGCATGATTGTCATAACTGAATAGTATGATAAATTCCAAAATGAGTATCACAAGTCTCCACGAATCTTGTTTTTCAAAATCTGTATTTCTGCCTCTCTTTGGAAGAGTCCTATTCATATGAGTCTGTGCTGGGGCAGAGGAATCTTCAGTTGGTCCATGGACAAATGTTTGGGATCCTGTAGATAGAGCAATGTTTCCCAAATTGTTTTCTAGAATATTAATTTCCAGGGAAATGCTCAGAAATATTTATAGGGGAAAAAAACAATACATTGTCAAAATACTATGCAATTACTATAGGAAATACTGAGTTTAAACAAAGTGAAACAAGAGTCTTTACTATAGGACTTAATTCAAGACTCTAAAAAGCTAAAGTGCTTTCTGCTCTTTAAGAACCAAGTATTAGGGGCCCCTGGGTGGCTCAGTGGGTTAAAGCCTCTGCCTTCGGCTCAGGTCATGATCCCAGGTCCTGGGATCGAGCCCCGCATCAGGCTCTCTGCTCAGCAGAGTCTGCTTCCTCCTATCTCTCTCTGCCTGCTTCTCTGCCTACTTGTGATCTCTGTCTGTCAAATAAATAAATAAAATCTTAAAAAAAAAAAAAAAAAAGAACCAAGTATTAAGAATTTTCCAAACATACTAGACAACAAAACCCTTTCCTTCAGGTATGTCAATAATGAGTTCATAATACAATAATGGTCCAAAAAACATAGTTTGGACAACAATGACCTTGAGACTATTAAAGAAAGAGTCTAAAGCCAATTATTTACTAATTTCCTTATAACCAATTGGCTGTAATCATAATTCTAACAATGCAAACAGAGGTGGTTAAGAATTGTAATAAAAATCCATCATTGGGGCGCCTGGGTGGCTCAGTGGGTTAAAGCCTCTGCCTTCAGCTCAGGTCATGATCCCAGAGTCCTGGGATCGAGCCCCGCATCGGGCTCCCTGCTCGGCGGGGAGCCTGCTTCCTCCTCTCTCTCTGCCTGCCTCTCTGCCTACTTGTGATCTCTGTCTGTCAAATAAATAAATAAAATCTTTAAAAAAAAACCAAAACCCATCATTTTTACCTTCCATAGGGGTGAAAAATTAAGTGTATATATAACTGTTAGAGAAAAGGATATCTCTAAAACACTGTAACAAAATATGTTTACGAGTGAAATAATATGGTATTTTAGGTTTTCTTCATCATTATACAGAGAAGGGAGTAGTGCCTAGATGTCTATATGGAGCAGGATTGGACATGAGCTGATGGAGCTGGGAGATGGGAGCTGATGGAGCTGGGAGATGATATAAGTACAGTAATACTATTATTTTTGTGTATGTTCAAATCTTTCTATAATAAAGTTTTTAAAATGCATCTGTACTTCATAGTTCCTCAGAAAAAAGAGACTAAAGACTAAAGAGACTAAAGAATAATGTATATATACATTATATTCTGCAGAGTAGTCATTTTAAAGGTTATATCCATAGTAAATTCAGTTCAAATATCCACTGAGGGAAATAAAAACTGTTTAGGATGATATATACCCTATGAAACAGAACTGACTCACTCATTTATAATGCATATTTGCTTGTATATATAGAAACATGTTTTCAATAAAGGGCAGAAATATTGTACAAGTAATTATTTCCTACTAGATAATATCAATTTTACTTTATTGTTTTAAATCTTGGTTATAGAGATAATTTTGGAAATATAATTATAAGAGATAATTATGGAAACAAAATGCATCTTTCTCTAAATAATCTATCATTTTACCAAAATATCATTTCCTAATTTAAGAGGTAAATATTAATATTTGAAAAATGTAGTAAAATGTAATATAATTACGAATGAGCAAAGACTACATCTAATCTCTTGAGCCTGCAGTTATTGAATGTTGGCATATGAAATTGAATTAAAGCTAAGTATAATGTTATAGTACTATACTAAAGGCTGTATACTATAACTAAATTATTATGAATAGATGGTTCTATAATAAACCAGATGGTTTAGTCATACCACACTAACTGCTCATACTAAAAGAGAATGAAGTTTTTTGGACCTGCATTCTCAAGGTATGGCATTACCAACTCCTTTTGAATGTGTAGTCAAGGTAGACCCTTTGTGTTACTGAGATGTTGGTCATCTCATTAATGCATGAAATAAATCTATTCACCTGCTGCCTATAAAAGTAAACTTCATGAAGATAACTTTTTGTTCTTAATTTAAATTTCTGCTTAAAAAGGTCAGGAGAACGAATTACACTCAGACTCAATTACAAACTACAGATATTAAGAAACTGCTGACATTTCAGGACAAACCACCATATTTTAAAAACTTATTCCTTAACTAAATGAACCAAATAGACATAAAAGCCTACAACAGTCTTAAATTTATAATCTGTGAGTTATCTTTCTGGATGAAATATATATAAAACATATACATATAGTATTTATAAATCTGACCTGAATATCATATAACTGCAGATAAGTGATGAAATAAATTAGGACCTTAATGTTCTAAACTCTGTTAGGTGTTTGATGGACTACAGTTCCTTATTTACTTTATAGGTAACTAAAGGAGTTATTTTATGTATTGTAAATGATAAATATTTCCTAAATGGTTCAAAACCAGAACAGTAAAAAAGAAGTTTTCAAGTAAGAGCTTGGTCACCATGAATATGTAATTTTCTTCATAAATGGGAAGAGACTTCCGGTATTTTTAATTTTTAAGGCAGCACTTTACAGCAGTATTAAATGATAGATAAGGGAAAAAGAGGTTCCTTTGTTTTTAATCGACAAAAAAATTATATTAATCTTTCAAATGTTTTACCATTACATGTTAACATCTTATTCTTCATCAAATATTTGTTATATGCGTAAGTAACAGGACAGTGTATTTGGTGTCACAGAATTTAAGTAATTTTGATTAATTATTACCCTTATTTTCAAAGAGATTAAGACTGATAAAATTCTGAGACTAAATGTGTATGGGGTGGGAGTATATAAAATAGCTTATGTTTTATGTTTGCATAGATTCAGACAGTATTTAATTACAGCCAAAAATCAATGAAGAATAATTATGTTAACTACTGTAATTATCTGAATATTTATGTCCCTCCAAAATGTGTGTTGCAATCCCAGCACAAAGGTAATGGTATTAGCAGGTACAATCTTTGGGAAGTGATTAGGTAATTAGGGTGGAGCCCTCACAAATAGGATTAGTGCCCTTATTAACAGAGATCCCACAGGCTCAGCTGGGTGGCCCAGTCATTAAGTCATTAAGTGTCTGCCTCCGGCTCATGGCTCAGGTCATGATCCCAGGGTCCTGCGATCCAGCTCTGTATCAGGCTCCCTGCTCGACAGGAAGCCTGCTTCTCCCGCTCCCACTTCCCCCGCTTGTGTTCCTTCTCACTGTCTCTCTTTCTGTCAAATAAATTTTAAAAAAAGAAAAAGAAAAAAAAGATGCCAGAGACCCCCTTCTACCATAGCAGTATATAGCAAGATGTCTGGTATGAACAGGAAGAGGGACCTCACTAGAACGGGACCACATTGCTGCCTTGAGCCTAGACTGCCCAGCCTCCAGAACTGTGAGCAATAAATTCCTGTTATTTATAAGTTACCTAGTTTATGGTATATTGTTATAACAGCCCAAATGGACTAAAACAAGTATATCACATCTACCTATTACCTTTGCAGGCTTTTGTCACTGCCACACTTCCACTTATTTATTTTTTTTTTTAAAGATTTTATTTTATTTATTTATTTGACAGACAGAGATCACAGGTAGGCAGAGAGGCAGGCAGAGAGAGAGGAAGGGAAGCAGGCTCCCTGCCGAGCAGAGAGCCCGATGTGGGGCTCAATCCCAGGACCCTGGGATCACGACCTGAGCCGAAGGCAGAGGCTTTAACCCACTGAGCCACCCAGGTGCCCCCACACTTCCACTTATTACCAAAGTCAAAATTATTTGCTATTGGATCTTTAACCGTGTTATATAAAAAGGTGTATACACATATATGCATTAATATAACTTAATTAGAAGTTAAAAACTGAATAATGAAATAATGTAAATAGCTCACTAATAATGTGTGTTTTATTAGACTGGACCTTGAATCTCATAATTCAAATAAGTTAAAAAGCCCAGGTTAAAGTTGTAAATGGTAGAGATGAAGATGTTCTTATCCATCTTAGATTTTGAACTTACTTGAAATAGGAATTTTATTTATCTAGTCTATGAATTAATTTTATTTATCCAGATTTAGGTACTTAATGATAAATGATAGTAATTTTATTTATCCAGGATTTGGGTGCTTAATGGTAAAT